CAGTGGGATTCTGGTAAAAAAAAAAAAAAATACCCTCCCCTCCGCTCGTATCTCCACCCATGGACTCCACTCCCAGCCTAGAGCAAAACTTTTGCACAGGTCCACCATTTTTATTCTCACTACAGAGGAGTGATGTCTACTGGGAAAACTCAGGGGGGGCTCATTCCATTTAAAGAGACACACACACCAAAACTGAGCGTTCTGAGAGAGCTGGTTTATACAGGGTCACAAACCTCCTCTGGTGCTTGATTCATGTTATATTTTGACCAAAGCACAGCACAGATGTTTTATTTAGACCACAGGAGACTATTTTAAAAGTTGGAATAGGGGTATAATATGTCCTCTCTTGTCAGAGAGCATGCAACATGATTTGCAAAGCATTTCACCTGAACATGTTAGGAAATAACGAGAGCAGGGAAGGTGCAGGGGGTGGCCAGGTTGTCAGAGGCAGGACTTAAAGTTTAAAAAAAAAAAAAAAAAAGGTTGGAGGCTGCTAGTGTCTTTCTTTGCATTTCAATAAAGCACTTTTCCTTCTGTTAGTGCCTTCAATTGATATCTTCGAGCCCTAGAAGAATCAAGCTGAGAAAATGTTTATTTTGCTACTCTACTGTGTTACTTCAAGTGTTCATTTGAAGTAATGTTCTTAGAAAGCTAATAATGAGGACACATTTAAACCAAACACAACCATAAACCAAGTCGATTTGATCACAAAGTGGTTCAACAACTCATACAATCCCCTTTAATTCATCTTGACCACAAATAGCCAAATAAAAATGCACACAAGCGCGCGCGACTAATAGGGTTAGCTTGTTTTCGTTCCACTAGGCTACATGATTGATGAGAAAGGCCACGGCATTTATAGCATCCCACTCAGAGTTAAGCTCCAGATCTTCCATGAGGCTCTTATTCAGCAGGAGCAGCAGATAACATGGCTGCTGCTTGGGGGTCAGACGGAATTGTGCTTAACAAGAGGCAGCCACTATGGGCTGTGTCTGAGGGGGGAAGGGTTTATTTTCTTTCCTCATGATCCAAATTATTGTTTGTCCTCCTTTGTACTCTTCCCTCCTTTTTTTTTCCACAAAGGTTGGAGAAGTGACGAAACATCCACCTGCCTGGTAGTAAAAAGTGAAAGTCTTGCAATGAAATGACTGCTCTCCTCATTATTCACCTCACCTAAGAACACCATAAGTTAGCTGTTTGAACACATTTTCAGGATAACGATCTGAAACACAAACACTAATCTGTTGTTGTCGTAAACTTTATCCAGAGCACATTAAAGAAATAGTTTAACATTTTTGGGAAATTCTTCAGGAAATCAGAAGATCGAAACCACTTTCATATTGTTCAAAACACACGCACACACAAACACAAACTCCTGAAGCTATAAGTGGTACCAGCCCTCCTTATTGACTCCAGCCACACAGTCGGCACTCTGCCCATTTCCCCCATCCTTCACTGGGCTTTGATGGAGCGGCCATGACATAAGGTCAACTATCACAGGGGACTGAAACCAGACAATGCAACAATGCCCACTGCAGCCCCATTGTCAGGGTGAACAATCCCAATCTCTGGGGAGAAACAATACTGGACCAGGAAACAGACACCGACCCACTTCCTGACCAGGGTTTAAATTTAGCAACTGCTTAAACCTTTTTTTTTTCTTCAGTAACACAAACGGCCAAATTAAGGAGTGAAAGTCGTGTGTCGGCATTGTGGATATGTACATGGAGAGAAAACAAAGGAAGCCAGCAAACACAAGCTTGTATGCCTCTCACATGTACACACTTTCTAACATAAACACTCAACCCTGAAAGCGGTTGTTGCTCCCAGAGGCTAATAAGAGTAATTATGTCCAAATAAATACATGTTACATGACTTTGATAACCACATTCACCCATATACTTTCTATTTTAAGCCTTGTTGATCCTGTATGTTTATAATTATGTGGTTGTGAAAGTCTGATTTTAATCATGCGAGGTCATGATTTTCACTTCTTGAGTGTGTTTGTGTGAGATTGCCTCCTTTGCCTGTTCAAAATGCTTCCAAATGATGCTGGTTTTTTTTCTTTTTTTCTGATGCACAGCTGGCAGGAAGTATGACAACAGAGAAACCTATTCTGGACAGATCTGGCACAAAAGCTGGCATAAAAAGTGGACCCTCCAGCACAGTGCAGGGCTCAGCTGTCGGACTAAGTTAAAGGAGAGTTGCCTGTGGGCATGACTGTTTGCTTTTTCATGACACCTTACAGGCGCCCAAAGGCTACTTGACCACACTTTGATTTTCCTCTTCAGTTGGAAAGCTTGGGTGTACTGTTGTGCTTGTAAGCTACAAGTGTGTAAATCCATTCACCGAATGTATCTGTCTTTGTGTGTTGACCAGCCGCATGCAGCTTCACAAACAGCGTGAGGAAATGCATCAGCAGTGGTTCCAACAATGTCAGGAAGTGCGTTCTGAATGGCAGCTGATCCCACAGGCCTGCATGTATGACCGTTAAGAATGACCCATCACACAGATTGGGTCTCCCCAGCATGTGACTCCCACTGATTATATTTGCACAGCTTTAAACAAACAAACGTCTATTGTTAAGCTTTAATTGTTGCAGCCTCTGAAAGCAGTGTGCGTCTATTGCAATTGCCTTGTCTTTTGGAAATAGTCTGGAAGTGAATAATAGTTAATCACCCACATGAATGGGGGAACATTTTCCTGAGGCAGAGGAATGTGAAGTCAAAAAAATTACTTATCTACGCTGCTTGAAAGAAAGGCTTTTTTTTTTCCAAGCAGAAAGATATTTGCTCTAGAAAAAATGTGTTGGAGAAGCTGATAACCTGCACAGTAGATTTCCTCCTCAAGGTTTGTATTTGCTCCACTGAACAGGAGGTGAGAGTTCACTCTGCGGAAAGAATGGAGCAGAGCGTCAGGCCTCTCCGGCTTCATCGGATATGAGAAAGATGGAAGCTCTGTTGTTCCACTGCTGGCTTTTGGATAGCAGCAGTGGGCAGATATGAGTTGCCCCGTGCAATCTGTTCCCTGACCCTCTGGCTTTTTTAGAGAAAAAAAACCACACGTGAACAATCACATTGACACTACCGAGCAAAATCACACACATGCACCCACCTACTTGGACTGAGATAACAAGCGTGCACTGGAATGCCAGCCAAGTTCTTGTGAACAGACATTGAACTGGGCAGCTTCAGCGGTCTCTATTTAGTTTGTTTTCTGTACAGCATGTGCCAATTTATCCCGGGCAGAGGGAGGAGCTGCCCACAATGAGAAAACATTCCACTCTAGAGACTGAGAAATAATTACTTTTCATTATTCAATCATAAAAAAACAACAACATAAAACTGCAGCAAAAGAGTCATTATTGTTTTTCTGCTGCTGTCTTTGAACGTCTTGTCGCAGCCTTCTTGTTCACCCTCGTGCAGTTCAAACTGTTTGTTTTTATGACAACATTCCTCTCTCTCCTCTTCAAATTCTTATAAACCCCCTTTCCCTTCTCTAGATAACTGCTGATCATCATGAAGACAGCTCAGTAAATCGCTGGAAATGAGTATCCGTATAGCCGAGCGCCGCAGCTGCCATCCTGAAAAGACATATTGCTACATTCATCGAGAGCCTGGGCGAGTACCTTTGTGGAAGGTGCTGAGTTCTGGATTTTATCAATTACTTTCTAAGAAAACAGTGTTAACCATCAGTGCTCCCCGGGGGATATTAAATAGAGCCAGCTTAAAGTGCTTGCTCCCCCTTGTATGAACTCTTACTGGCAAATAATTGATGCATTTATTTCCCTGTACAGCCAAAGCTATGGATTTTAAAAAAAAGAAAAAAAACAGCCATTAAATCAAAGTTATTCTCTCCATTTTTCTTCCCCCCCTGGAGGTTACGCTCGGCTCACGGTACCCCAGAAGACTCATCCACTTCCCACACCTTCGTCGTTCTGTTATTCCCAGAGTGCTTTCTCTTGAGTGATTCAGTGCCTCCGTATTGTGACAGTATTTGGATGGCAGAAAGGGTACGGTTGGAGACAGAGGGAATACACACTTCGGAGACATTTTACCCACAGAAATCTCCTCCCTTATATCCAAAAGGAAGAGAATAAAACAAAGTGCACCCACAGGAGACAAACTTGTATGGGTGGTAGTTTCTGTACAGCATTTACAGTATATTGTGTATAACATGAACATAGGGAAGTTAATTAATGAAAAACTTTTTTTTTTTGCTTACTTATCCTATGATGATGATGTCACAAATTGACAATAATGACTAATTTATGGTATTTAGACTTTATTTCCAACAAAATAATACATATAAATACTGGTATTTCTTCACATATTTTCAACATTAAATACTGTTTTCACGTAATAATTTCCTTTCATTAAGTTATCACATTTCTGTACCACTTTCAGTCCATTCAATGTGCTAACTGGACTCTTTTCTTTGCTCCATTATTCAGCTGTCAGTCCTCTCCCTCCCTCTTCATCCATAGCTAAAATACTATGGTCATGGGCAATGAGAAGCCATGTACAATCCCAGAATTCAAATTGGTTTGGCTTCCACTTCTTCATCTCAGTCCACAACCCAACTCAAAGTGACCAAACCATGGTGTGCGTGAGAGGAAAAATACTTTGTGTGTGTGCATGCATGCAAGCAACCACGCAGCCATTATCCTCATGGGAGCAGAGCAGAGATCCAGAGACCCGAACATTCCACTGTGTGAACACAAATGACCACAGCCATGGAGAGAGAGAGGGGGGGGGGGCTTCAAAGAGCTCCAGGGGTTACAGTGCAAACCTCAGAGGAATATGCTTAAGAGCACCCACATCCGCAGTCAGCCTTGTAAGCTTTAAATGTCAGTGTTTTTTTTTTTTTTTTTTAGATTTGTTTTTGGGCTTTTTGTGCCTTTAATGTAGAGATAGCACAGTGGATAGAGTCGGAAATCAGGGAGAGAGAGAGAGAGAGAGAGAGTGGGGGATGACATACGGAAACCCGCTTGGAAGACTACAGCCTCCATACGTGTGGCGCGCGCACTAACCACTGCCCCACCAGCGCCCCAAGTGTCAGTGTTTTTTTCCACTCTTACTTTCAGCACCGACAGCCATAAACGTTACATGGAGACGTCTTATGACTGTAATCACTGTGGCGCCTAAATTGTGTTGCCATGGGGACTGTTCTTAAAGATTTTCATATTTTTCAAAAGCTTCATTTATCTGGTGATCTCCGCTTAAATTTCCGCCTCGCTCTGAGACATTGATCACAGTGCATCACTTGTTTTTTTTTTCTTCCTCAGACACTCCTGATAGTCAAGTGTCGTGTGCAGGACAGTTTTTATAAAAAAAAAAATTAAAAAAAAAATTAAATAGAGCTTTCATAGTCACAAACAACAGGCCACTCTATTTGACTCCGTCATACATAATGCTTCTGATTTGAGCGTCCCTTATGGGCACCCTTAGTGTTTTTTGGCGTGTGTTGTGTCGGTTTTTTATAATGTACTCTGGGCGACTGCGTCTTCCTCATAGCCCCCATGCAGTTCACATAACTGGGCAGCAGGTCGCTCTCCGCTGGCGCAGCTCCCCAGTTCGCCTCGATCCCCTGATCCCCGTAGCTCTCACAGGGGTTATGACTCGGCAGGTCAACGTGGCTCCCAGCTCTGTAAGTCTGTGGCGCCTCCGATGGAAGTTCAGGAGTCACCTCTCGTGTGATCACCCGCTCTGACATTGGAAAGTAACAGTGCTGCTGGGCACGGCAGCGTTTCTCCAAGCGTTGCGTGATGGCGAGCTGGAGAAGGTGGAGGAGCTCGACGAGGTTGAGCAGCAGGGAGATGGCGGCGATCACCTGAGTGTAGATAGTGAAGATGGTCTTCTCTGTAGGACGAGAGACGAAGCAGTCCACCGTATGTGGGCAAGGAAACCCTTTGCACTCAAACCTTGCTGCGATGAAGAAGCCATTATAGAGAATCCACAATCCGACCATGAAGCCGATTTCTAGGAGGACTTTTAAAAAGATGCTGAATGCATACACGCACAGTAGCCTTCCTTTCAGTTTAGGAACCTCAAAAGGAGTCTTTTGAGATTTTCTGCCACCTCGACCCTCCTCTTTCTTCTCCTTCTCCCCTGCATCCTCATTGTCATTCTCCCGTTCTATCACAATACCTCCTCTGTTACCTTCTCCTGCCTGCTTCTCCTCCTCTTTTCTCTGCTTATTCCCCACCCTTATAGCCACATATCCAAAGTAGAATATTGTTGGCGTGGAGACGAAGATGACTTGGAGGACGAAGTAGCGGAAGTGGGAGATGGGAAAGGCTCTGTCGTAGCACACAGCAGTGCAGCCAGGTTGATCTGTGTTGCACACAAATTTCGCTTGCTCGTCATCCCAGGCGGACTCAGCGGCGACTCCCAACGTGAGCATGCGAAACAGGAAGAGAATGGTAAGCCAGATGCGCCCAATGCCTGTCGAATACTCCTGGCCCTCCTCCAGCAGGTGCTCCAGGAAGGACCAGTCAGCTCTGGACATCCTCTGCTCCTACAAAGACAGGTGGCAGTCAGATATTTTATGAAGAATACACCTTTTGTTTCATAGATCTTTTGAAAAACAACACATTTAACAGAAGCCGTCAGCAAGCATGCATCCATATTCTGTAGTTTATTTTCTCTATTTTCCTGTCATAGTGGGTTACTATTGATTGTTTTCTCAAGATCTCGACCTTGTTTTTCTTGTTATCTTGGGATAACAACATTGGTTTTCCCATTATAAGGCACAGATTTCAATGCTGTTTTCTTGTGATGCCTTGATCATTTTCTGGCGATCTGGAAAGGACAACAATAGGCTGGTCGCTGTGTTAGGCCGGGACACACCAGGCTGCCACTGCCAACACTAATGAGGCAATTAAACCCATTTCTTTGTTTATTTTTGAGCTTTTGGAACCCTAACCCTAACCCAACTCTGGGGATAAGAAATGAATATGCCAAGATCTCGAGAAAACGTCACTTTGTTTTAGTGGGAAAACTGAGTAAGTGAAACGTATGGATGCATGTCTGCTTAGAGCTCCTGTGGGACATACCAAAAAGAGTGTTTTTAACATGGAAATGCACACATAAAAACTGACCTGTATAAGGTAAACAGGCTGGTAAACACCCTCCTTACTTTTTATCACACGCTGCATGCATGTCTAAATGTAATTGTAACGCAGGTCATACAGTTAACTTTCCATTTACTGCTACATTGCTGAACATATTGGCTTGAATGTACCACTTAACACCTCACTGCTATTTTTTATGTCCACTTCAGCATTCTCAAGGGTTTTTCTACGAACGCACAGCTAATGCACATGTGTTTAATGATTTCTATTCGCAAACAAATGAGCTAAGTTTTTCCAACCTTTACAGAACAATGGTGTCTTTTCATACCGGGGGAACCTGTGTCTAACTGGAGCCCCCTTATTAGTTCTTCCATGAGCTCAAAGTGTTGTAAGGTTGGACCAACTCCTCAACATCAAAATGTGAAAAACAAGGCCCCCATACACTAAAACCAACTAAAGCAAAACCACATGCTACTAAAGTTGATATTTAACATGAATGGAAAATGTGTTCGCTTTCCCTGTGAAACTGGAGTAATGAAGTCCTAAAGAGGCCTCTCGATCTTTATGAGATAAGATAGATATTATTTATCGTCCCCAAAGGGAAATTTTTCTCGGACTCTGTCCTGTACTAACAAGAGAATTAAAAATACATAAATAGGGATCAAAGAAAACATGTAACAATTCCTCATATACATAAAAAGCACCTTCCTGCAGCAGTGACATATCCTTTATTATAAAGCATTATCATCTTTACACTTATTTTTACAACTGGATTTATGAATCAACAAAAGCTGAGTCAAATCCCACTGGGACTGACTGAATGAAAAAGTTGAAGGGGAGTTGATGGAAGTTGATAAGAAATGACAGTCAGAGGCTTATCGGGAAATTCACATACATACACATGAGCTTGTGCACGCACACAGGCATGCACACACACACACACACACACGCACACACACACACACACACAAACACATACATCTGAATAAACATCCTGTGTGGGGGAGTTGAGACACTGCTGTGACACTTGTCTTTTTGTTTAGACTGTTTATATGTTTTTCTGTTATTTCTTCCCCTCTGTGAATAAAATAAACTGTGATTGTGAAAGTACAAACTCGTATCTGACAGGATGAGACAGAACAATGGACTGTCAGCTGGATTCTGAGACCTGAATTGGCTTTCAAGACAACTGGACTGATCCATTTCTGGGACTATTGTTCTGAGGAACAAAATGATATCCACCAAATGGCATACCCACAGATTACTAAGTATATGTGTAAAATATTCCATACTAAGTAGGCTATATGAGAGAACAGAAAAATACAATTTTATAACTAACAAACCACATTACAAGTTGAGTGGGCTTTTGCCAGAACTATTCACAAGTCACCTTTTTAATTTATAATTATTCTAATTTTAAGTCTTTGTTCTGTCTAAATAAAACCATATAAATAAAATAAAAGTATAGGTCAATAAAGAAATAGCTTAATCATAAAAATCGATTTACCATAAAGGACGATTAATTAATTGGGATGGAAAGACATTTAATAATGTGACTTTAAAAAGATCAGACACCTCGTTAGTCACTTATAAAGGAGGTCAATTAAATAAATAAAACAAAGTACAAGTGCCACAAGTCAATGAAAAAGTGTCATTACCTTATCCTACACGCAGTGACTCACATCCATCATTTTGTTTGTTGGTTGTTTTTCTCCTCATGAGAAAAACGCAGTTTTTTTCTTCTTAATTTGAGTTGGTTCTTACCTTTCTCTCTCGTGAAGCGTTCTTCTTCTCCTTATTGGTTTACCGGCCTCAGCAGTCCGTGTACTTTTAAAGTGTCACCCTGCGCTCCTCGTACTATAGCGCTAAACTCTGCCGCTCCACTCGGTTTGTGTCTGCCTTCTTTAAAAAGAATCGATGTAATCGGAAAAAGTGGGGAGAACTTTCCCATGGCTTCTTGTAGTGTAGTGTCCCTCCCTCAGGAACGGGTGTCCAGGAAATGGGATGGATGAACTCAAAGTCTCTACCTCTGGTTTAATGCGCTCTGGCCCGGGTTTTACTTTACCCAAAAGAACACCAATTTGCATCAATCACACGGGAATATCGCATGACTTCAGTTATTTAAAGGTTAGAGGTGGAGAGGCTTAAGAAATGGGGGAAAGATTGGACAATAGGCTTTGGAGAGAGGTCTTAGGTGTCATGTTTAAAAGTGTGGGGGGAAAAAAAACCCACATCTAGACTACCTTCATTTACTGTCGGCGCAGATCATTAAAATACACAAGTCATTTTAAAAGACCCTCACTCACTTTGCAACAACTTTAAGAAGGAGGCTATTTTCTTTAAAGAAATGATCAGCTTCGTGTCATCATTTAAAGAATTACGTTTTAATCCTGTTTAATTTCTTGTAAGATTTTTCCTTTTTTTATATATAATAACTTTTTTTGGACAACACACATCAGATGGCGGACTAATGTAGCCTGATACCATGATGCAGACTCCTGTAATTTTCCATTACGCCACGCAATGGCGCTAGTCACCTTATTTCCAGGAAGCACATGACGGTCGGATGACTGCTTCCTCTAAAACCACTAAAGTTTGTGGTTGACTTTGTAACAACCATAGAGAACCAGACTGTTACACACACTGTGCAGTGACTGATCTGTGATGGAGTTGTGTTTTTATTAGCTTGAGCATACAGTTTGCAGCACTGATGCTGCTCATCATCATCATCATCATCATCACTCAAGTCATTCCTGATAATATGTCCCAGATATTTGACTTTATCTACCACACTCAGGGCTTGATCAGAAATAAAGAACGAAGGAAATTATGTTTTCGATCGTCCTTTGCGTTTACTATCATGACAACGGTCTTCTTACTATTATACTTTATGTCACGCTGCACTCCATAACTCGAGCAGATTCTTAAAAGTTGCTGTAGGTCAGCACTATAAGGTGACAAGATTACTAAGTCATCAGCATACATCAAATTGTTAACAATTCTATCTCCCACCATACATCCAGTCTTACAAGCTTTAAGCTGTTCAGAGAGATCGTGCCATATACATATTGAAAAGAAGTGGTGACCTTGTCGGACCCCATTGGTCACTGAAAAGGGTGCTGATATACTCCTGCCCCATCGGGCGCATATGGATTGATGCAAATACCAGAAATGCAATATTAGTTTGGGAACTGAAGGTTTATTTTGTTATTGTTTTTACCTTTTTTTTAAAAGGGTTATTTTGGGTCTTATCTAGAGATTGGAGAGTGGGGAACAACATGCAAGAAAGGAGCCACAGGTGGGATTTGAAGCCCTGGCCGCCAACTCAGAGGACCCCAGCCTCCGCAAACGGGCCGCACACACCAACCAACAGGCCACCAGCGCCCCACTTCAGTTAATTGTTGATTGTAATTAATGGCTTTGTATTCATTAATATTAGTAAATCATAGTTACGACAGAAAAATGAGTGGAAATTAGTAGCTGCTTGATAAAAACCAAAGTATTGTTGAGAGTTAAATCTACCTCCCATTAATGCACTGCATATTATAATCATAATTATAAAAGAGTTAAGTGAGAATTAAGAGAGGGGAGAATAAATATTAAAGCCCTGTGTTTGTCTTTCTGTAGGCTGAAGACTCACAAAAGATTTAAAGTTATTTAAGACTAATACTTGCAGCACAGATAGGCTTTTTATAGTTTAAGTTTTATATATTAAAATCTAAAAACTATTTGTTTTTGGTATTTAGCTTTCCCTCTTCCATATAGTTCACTTTCAAATGAAGGAAGGTCTCTCTTATGGTTCGTCACAGTCTGTCTTTTTTTTATTTTTTTTTATTTTTTTAACTAATTGCCTTGATGTCATTCTGTGTACAGGCCAGCCACACCCTGATGCTGCTATAACTCACATGAGCTTACACACTGCTCTGTAGAAATCCATTTTGAGATCATTTCAAACTTTCAACCACATGTCCAGTGACGATTCTAGAGTCTACTGGGGCACCAGGCAAGAAATAATTTGGGGCCTGCATTTATCACCATCATGTCTGCCACCGTCCCACTGCTTACTCCTCTTCCTCTTTATTTCCTGTTTCTGATTTCTCTCCGATAGACCGAGAATTCCTCTTTATTTTTCTTGGTTGGCTTTCACTGAAAAACTTTGGTTTTCACTGAGCTACAAGAGTGACTGCTGTCAGATGGGGCACCCTTCGAGAGGTTTCCTACTGTCATTGCTAAATTTGCACATTTTGGGCCGCTGCTGTGTTTTAAAGTTTGTCAGCCCTCTGGGGCCCCCTACTGGTCTGGGGACCCAAGCTGTTCCCTGCCTTGCCTATTGACAAGCTGTGCCTCTGTACATGTTAGCAGAAATGCATCTTTTCAAACGAAGCCTTCTCCTTTGTAAGATGCAAACACATTTTGCCATTGAGTTTGCCAGTTTTTTTCATGAAACAGTGACTTAACTAAACTAAACAATAGTTTTATTCAAATACATTTGCTGCATGATATCTGGAAGTACACAAAGCCGCCTTTGTCATAATTCTGTTTAACAACATAACACAGTCTGAGATCCCATTCCTATCCCATTGACACTCTGTCAAATTGAAGTCTTTTCCCAGAAGTCATTTCCTCTAAGTCGTTCCCGATCAGCGCTGCACCATCCCATGTGTTAATATGTAGATTATGAGAGAAGTTAGGAGGCTGGGTTCATCCGCCCAGCTGCTGTACAGAGTGGACCTTTGTAAAAAAAAAAAAAAAAAAAAAAGGCTGCTAAATTGACGGTGAATAATCCTGACAGATCAGCGTCATGCTCTTTCTTCGGTCATTATATCAGCAGATGAAAGGTGAGGAGGGATGTGGGGACAGCAGACAGAGAGTAATGGGACTGTTTCCATTCAGGAGATGTGGTACGTCTTCCTGTGCTTGATGTGTTCCTGCCAGCCCGTACTGTTATCAATGTAACTAATTGCCAGTTTCAACTTCAATCAATCCCTCACTGGTGGACACATTGGAACATGCACCATTGTATTATGGGACTGATTCAGTCGTCGGTGCACATCAGTGATCTCAATATTGCAGATATGAATGTTGAATGAGAACATTTATTCAGAGATGGGTCGGGACACCAGACTCTGAGGTTAAGAATGAAAAATATTTGGATTTATGTCAGTTTTTATCTGTTAACACCCTCATTTCATGAACATACAGGCCAGTTTATAATTGCGGGTTTAAACGTAACCAGATACTCAATTTATTAACTTGACAGCATGGGGCCCCTTTGGAAAAAAAAAATACTGACAGCCTACAAATCATGCCCATGTTTGTGATTGTTTTTTTCTTCTCTTTTTTTTACATGAATAAGTAATGGGGGGAATTTTAAATCAACCTTTCTCAGCTTTGCTAAATGATTAACCGCAACCATCACCTGTAAAAAAAAAAAAAAAAAAGAAGTTCTTGTACAAAGCAGCCTTTTATTTACTTACACAGGAAGTTCATTTTAGAACATACTTTGCCAAATCCATTGCTATTTTGAGCTTTGAAGAGTGGCTTCCTGGATAGCTTGAAGTTGTTTTGTGAAGAGTTGACACCCACTGGATGGATTGCCATGATTTTTTCATTGTTCCCATAGGATTCATCCTTGTGACTTTATGACTTTAAACATCAAATGACTTTCATTCAGCAACATCTTGAGACTGACATTTGTGAGTTTTCTTTTTTAAACATGTCAAGTTATTGGATGGATAACCATGGAGTTTATCCTGTGACATTCATATTTCCAAGAGGATGAATCCTGATGACTTCGGTGATCCCCTGACTCTCCTGCCAAATGCTTCAGACCGCTCAAAATGTTCATTTATCAACAGAATAATCCCAACAACTGTTTCCTGTTTTTAGATAATGAGTCCAACTGACTTTAAAATATACGGCGCACATTTGTGGTTTGATGAAATGATCTAAACACGTGTTAAGGTTCTGGATAGGTTGCCATTAGATTTAGTAAAATCCTTCATGGAGGATGAACTGTTAGCCTTTTTTTGTTGATGCCCTGAAGCCATTTCCACTAATGTCATCATCAAGTCATTTGTGAATTGTAAATGGTAAATGAACTGGAGTTTTTATAGCGCTTTTATTAGTAGTCTTCTGACTACTCAAAGTGCTTTTACACCACAGGATACACCTACACATTCACACACTTATGGCTGCTATGTAAAGTGTCTATCAGTATTAATTATCCCATTCATGCAATTTCACACGGCAACATAGCAGGGGGAGCAATTTGGGGTTAAATGTCTTGTACAAGGACGCGTCGGACTTGTAGCTGCGGGAGGTGCTGGGGATTGAACCCTGACCCCCAGCACCTCCTGACCATCAGGTTGAAAGACCAAATGAGCTGCAACCGCCCCAGTTGTGTAGTACTTTGGTTTGTGACCAAATATCTGCCAAACTAATGACATTCAAAAGACTGTTGGTTATGTAGCAAATGTAAGTATGCTAGTAGACAAACTAAAGATGATTCACCTGGTAAACTTTATATCTGCTAAACATCAGCATCTTATTGACAATGTAATCACATTAACATGCTAATGAGAACATTTTTGCTCAAGGCAACACTGTGCAAAAGCCTAACACCACAGAGATGCTAACCTTGGCTCTTAGTCTTGTTTATCTTCACTTTATAATCTCCCTAGATAATCAGCAGCCTTTCTCTTATACATGAAGAATTTAGCAATGAAAAAGAAAGAGCTCGGTACTGCAATGCTGTTCTTTCTCATTTAAGGTAATTTTGTCCTTATTTTGACTCAAAGCATAGCTTCGGCTGTGTATCTCTGAACACCGCTATGTTGCACACTGTGCACACAAAGAGGACCTTGAGGAACACTAGAGTTCTTGTGACATGTTATATCATGCAAAATTAATCTGCAAGACTAAGAATAAATATCCCAAGTTATTCTGGGGATGCATCATGTGATATCATACTGCGTGC